GGAGAAGACTATATTTAAAAGGAAAAAAACTACCACAACATAAGGACAGAGTCTTAAATTAGAGGGGCAAAGGTTGAAAAATAATATCAAGAAGTATTACTTTACTGAAAGGGTAGTGGATGTATGGAATAGCCTTTCAGCTGAAGTGGTAGAGGTTAACACAGTAAAGAAGCTATAATATAAGGCCAGGGACTAATGAAAGTATTTAGAAAATTGGGCAGACTAGATAGGTCGATTGGTTCTTATCTGCCGTCACATTCTATGTTTCTATGATGGACAAGCAATTGATAATTACATCTCTCTTGCAGTTGATGGCAGTATGGCAACTCTTGCTTGCTGAAAGAGTGTTATTTGACAACACTATCAGAATTCCACATAAAAAGTCAAGCACATATAGCATTTCCATTCAGTTCTTGAAGCAACACAAGACATTTGTGGGGTCTTCGCATTTTTTTAAAAAATTTTTAAGACTCCCCAAGGTAACACGTCTGCTTGTGTAGAGATAGCTGTTGAAGCAGCAGATGTGAAGACATATTTACCTTGGGCTATCCCTACTGTGTGCTGCCAACATCTTGCTGCCATGAGCTGTCGTCAGTCTGTTGAGGATCATTAATACATAATTTCATGCATGATGGGAGAAACTCCACCTTTTTGCAAAGATTCCCTAAGATTCTTAATTACCTGAGACAAAGTAGTCTCTATTTTGCCTTATGTAGATCTTTGGATTACTTTGAAAAGATATTCAAATAAATAATTTCAAAGAAATTCCAACACATTCAAAAAAATAGCTTTTCATAAAGATTTTATCTTTCCATGCTCTGTAAAACATCTTTTTACATTAGTCAAATTGTAGAAACAGTTGGCATTTTCTTACAAACAAAATCTTTGACCATAGTGCATCTTTAAAATGATATATTATTTTGTGCCAGCACAGTATTGTACAACATGAATCAATATTTCTCACAACTCACAGTTTCTGTAAAATAATGGGAACAGCCTAGACATTTATGTCTTCTGAAGCATTTCCACTCATTTATCTCAGCTCTTGGGGTCATAACTGCTTTAGACGTACAATTAACATGTTAATAACATTACATGTGATTTGTAAGGATGTTAAAATGTGTTTCGGCATGGTCAGGAAGTGCATTACTGTATTAAAAAGCTATATTAAGAGAATTATTAACCTAAAGGATGCTGATTTAAAAAAATATATCAATATAATGAGTCACTGGCTCGTAGCATGAACAAGTGTTTGATGAAGAGACTGAATAATATGTAAATATGTTGTCTAAGCAGATTTAGTTACATTGCGAAAACAGCTGACATTTCCCATCTCTAGAAGAAGAAAAATAAATAAAAAAATTGTGAAGATAATTATGGAGAGTATTTAAAGGATCCATGAAAAAGCTTGAGGATATGGTTTGAACACATAAATGTGCAGATGTATCCAGACCGCTGTTGCATTCTTTTTTTTTTTTTTTAAATGAGAAATATTTATATTTAGAAGTATGTATTTAGTTACTTAATTACTGAAATCAGGGCTTAAAATTTCCACTCCCCTCTAACTATTGGCAAGTGAAAATGCCATCCTGGTGAGTAGAAAGGGACTCCTGGGGAACGTGCTAGGTCTTCCAGTGGCAAGTAACTTTCAAGGCCTTGCTCGTAGCACAGAACGTCAAATTTTAAGCCCTGCTAAAATGATTGGTCAAATAGGGAGTTGAAAATTCATAGGAGGAAAATTCCATAGAAGTTCCCAAAAAAATAAATGGAGTGCTATTTAAATAGTATTGCTGGTCCCCCAAGAAATCTTAACTTTTCATTGTCAAATGTTACTGCAAATATTTTTAGGTGCTGTGAGTTCAGTTTCATATCTTGATAAGCTATTAGGAAAATACTGAATTTTTTAAGAACTTCCAGTTTGGAATGTGATAAATATACTCCTGTTATACTTGAAGTGCAAACGACTGACCCTCGGCTGTAGTATCCCAACTCTGGTTCCATATTAATTAAAACTATAAAAACCATTGGAGGTAGTAGGTAGCTATACTGATGCAGCTGGGCTACTGTCAATACAATACATAGGTGATACAGCTGCTATTGCATTGGTATTCTGGACCATCACACATTGGTACATGCTGGTCAAGGGCCCTGAACTTCAAGAAGGAAGGGTAGAAAAAGGAAGTGGCCAGGTAAACCGCTCTAGATTCACCCTGTTTGGAAAGAAGGAAGCAAAGGTACTATCAAAGTTAACTTTTTTTTTTAAGAAATCACAAATTATTGTATTAATTATAATCAAAGTTCAATAACCTAAAAATATTTACAGCAACATTTAACAATAAAAAGTTAAGATTCTTGGGAAACCAGCAATACCATTTAAATTGCACTGTATTGACTTTTTTGTGGTTTTCTTTGGAATTTTTCTGTAGCAATTATGTCCCGCAGCTTGGAAAGGTTGGGTAACTGATCTAATCTAGCAAAGTGTAGAATGGCATAAATCAAGCAAAAATTCAAGTTCATCAAGTCATCTATGCTTTGACTATGGCTACTCTGGCCTTAAACATTCGCTTTTAAATTTCACTTTAGTGAATAAACCCTGTAGGTAGTAAAATTAAATGTAAACGATACGTGATGTTCCTAAGGGAATTCTCATTAGACTTGTGTACGAGATTTTTAAGTTCTCATGGACAACATTTTCCAAATTGAAATCAGCACTGTTCCAACTAAATCCTATTACACCTCCCCGGCTGTCAGACAGTTGAGAGACATTTCTTCCTTTTAGTTTAGCTAATGGAGCTGATCCCAAGACGCTGGCACTTGCCAAAAACGCCTGCTTTTAAAAGATGTTTTGATGAGCTGCGATAGCTTACTAAGAAGTCTGCAGTTGGATAGTCATGTGTGTGACAGGTCCGCAAGGCCAATGACAAGCCTTTGATTGGACATTCCCCCCAACATAAGAGACATCCCTCCACCGCACAGACTAAGTTTTCATATACAAACACATTCAAAAGGAATTATATGCATATTTTTTTGTGGGGTATATCTACTTAACTTAATTTTTTTCTCAATTGAAGTGTTCCTTTAAGAACTACCATAATTAATTTACTACCAAGTATAATCCATTAACAAATCTTCGATTTCATAAGAGTTTGATGTTGTTTAAAAACAAAAAAACAACAAACAAAAAGGACAGATATATTGTACCTTCGAGATACAGAGTCATAAATTCTCTTGACTGTCACTACCTCTTTTCAATCTTTCTAACTTCATCAATGACGTTAAATTTAAATTGTGACAGGTTATGCCTGGCCTCCATCAAATCTGCTGGAACTTGTAGATCCAATTTTTTTCTTCTAATATTTGCTAGATGAGTTCACTAAAATGAGAATTTAAAGTTTAAGGCCAAAGTAGACGAAATGAACAAATAACAGAGTTAGAACATTTTTTTTTTGTTTAACTATTTTGACCTTAAATTTGAAATTCTTACTTTATTGAATAATCCTTTTAATCTTAGTTCTAAAAAGCAACCTTTGATGTTTTCAACAATACATAACATAGGCAACACTGACCTTAGCAATGCAGTGTTGTGCTCAACAATACTAAGACTAACTAATTGTTGTGAGAGACAATCACAGTGATCACATTGCTTTTTATTTTATTATATTATTTATAGAGCACTAGCAGATTTTGTAGTGCTGTACAATGAGTACTAACAGACACGTAATTGTAACTAGACAAGTTGGACGCACAGGAAAATAGGGGATGGGGGCTTACATGCTAGCGGGAGTGGGGAAAGTGACACAAAGGGTAAAAGTAAGGGTATCAAAGTAGGTTGCTAGAAAAGTATTCACTGAGGAATTAGTAGGTTATTTTTCACAGCTGCAGAAAATGAGTTAGGGTGTGGGGATGAAAAACTGTTGACAGTTTAATTGATACTGAAAAAGGGAGCTTTAAATGATTTTTTGAAGGAGTGGAGACTGAGTGATAGTCTAAAGGAGAAGGGAAGGGAGTTCCACAGAAAAGGTGCAGCCCTGAAGAAGTCTTGAAGGCGAGCATCAGAGATGGGAGTATGGACAGACGATAGACGTAGATAGCTGCGACATATCATGACTGGGATTTGCTCCCAAGGTGATCAAGTTACCTAGGAGCCAATATGACAATATTGATAGGCTTCCCCACTGCTGGGCAGCCAGCAATAACCTACTGCGAGATGATCAAGGCATGCATTGCTGCAATAGGACCCTGCTTGTCACAGAGCTCTTTCTAGAAACCCTCATAGTGGAGACTTCCAGTAACAGCAGAGTACTTATGATGATTGTGGCATGCTCTAGTTTAAATAGTAAACGTGGTTTCTAGGCTTCGGGGCCTCCACATGGCTCATTCTATGATACCTCACTAGTAAGGATAGCAACAAGACCAGTGAAAACTGTAATATTTTTGTTGGCTGCTGTAGAGGATACATCAGCCATCGCAAGGTACCCAAGTGAAGGTGACTCAATAGCAGTTAAAATATATTATTAGTTTTTTTACAGCTGTATGAGCTACATGACCATTGATAGAAGATGCTGAATGAACATATTTCTTACTAAAAAAAATAAAATAAATTTAAAAAAATATTGTCATGGAGCTATTTCATGTTTTATAATCACAAAATATAAACTGTTGCTATGTCAGTCAGTACTGTCTAAGGGTTACTCAAACCACTATGACCACTTATGCTTTTAGAAGTGGTCATGGTGGGGCGTGGCCTAGCTGTTCATGGAGACGGTCACACACTAGCCGAGCTCCAAGGCCTGAACCGCCATAATTTGCTAGTTACCCTGCAATAGTCGCAATGGTGCGGACCAAGAAGCACACTAGTGTTGGGGGCACACTGTCGGGCTTCCCGAGACGCTGCATGGGCACCCTCGATGATTATATCAGCACCCCGGTGGGACTCCGTGGCAGCGCGACGTCAGACAATATGGCGGCTGTGTCCCCCAGCGCAACCAGCGGAGGTGACTATGCCAGACTACTGGTCGGACGATGCGCTCCACTCCATCAGGGCAGAACTCTCCCGGATCGGGAGCAACATGCTCACTAAAGCGGACACCGGGGCCCTAGTGCGGGAAATACGGGAGGAGGTCTGGGAGGACCTACTGAGCCTCTGCACAGATCTCACAGCCCTGGAAGCGAGAATGGACTCAGTGGAGGCGGAGGCGCGAATCTGCTGCCAGCAACATCGGGCGGCAGAGACGGCGGCTACCTGGCAAGGGAACATGCTGCTGATACTAAGGCGCCAGGTGGGGGACCTAGAGAACCGCAGCAGGAGGCACAATATTCGAATCCGAGGCCTCCCAGAGCCAGACACAGAACCCCTGGCAGTCTCCCTGTTGCAACTTTTCCGCCAGATCCTTGGCCTGGACGCACCGCCTGACATCCGCCTCGACCGGGCCCACCGAGCACTGGGGCAGGCCAGACCGGACGGCAGACCCAGGGACGTGGTGTGCTGCTTCCATTCCTTCCCGCTAAAGGAGCAGGTCATGACAGCGGCCCGGAAAATGCTGACCATCAAATTTCAAGGAGCGGACCTGGCACTCTTCCAAGACCACTCAGGCCTCACGCTGGACGCCAGAAGGGCACTGCGGCCCATCACCACTGCTCTTCGTGATAAGGGGATACCCTATAAATGGGGGTTCCCCTTCAGCCTCCAGGCACGGCAGGGCTCCACCTGGCACACTCTCAGGATGCCTGATGACACCCCGAGATTCCTCTGGGCGCTCCACCTTCCACCCACGAGAATCTGCAACTGGCTCCTGGAGGAGCCCACGGGTCCCAGAAGGGGAGAGGACGCGGGCCTGCAGCCCTCCACCACCAGCCTGAGCCGGATGTCTCCGCCGCGACGCTGGGGAGGACCAGCGGGAGCAGAGGAGTGAGACTCCCAATATCCCGGGCACTGGGGAACCCTGCGACCTCACCGTATGTACTGTTACTGTATGTACTGTGCCCGCTTCAACTTGGCCGCCGGGTCTCCTGGACACTGGGGGGCGGGCGGACCGGGGGCCCACCGTTGGAGTCTCGGGTGGGGCCTCCCCCCCCTGTGGGGCTAGGGATTGGGGGGGTGGGGCCTGCTACGGGCTTGTGCCCCATGGGGGGGTTCAGTCACTTTTGGGGGGGGTCCTGGTGCTTGGGTGAGGGGGGTGTCCCGGTGCTTGGGTGGGGCGGGGGTGTTGTGGCGGGTGGGGGGTTCCCCAGCATTGTGTCCCTAGGGCCGGGGGGCCCCCCGACAATGGGGGCATGAGACTCTGGCAGACCTAACAACTGTTGGGGGTGGTTGGGGTGGTGGGTGCCTGTTACTCTCATAGGGATGTCCAACGCAGGGGGTTAGCACGCCACGTACCCGCCCTGCGCCCCCCCCCTCCGAGATACCGCCAGGCTAGCCTTTGACGGAGGGGGGCCGGCCCCTTGGGAGCACAGAGGTGAGAAGAATCGCAGGGACCACCCGGGACACAGAGACCTACCCCTCCCAGAGCCTAAACCATTCGACACCACCACCCGCACCTAGATAGACTGACTGAAAGGGTAGGACACATCATTGCAGGGCGGTGACGGCCATTGGACACCTAGCACCACACACGACAGACAATACCTTGACCACAGTGCGACAGCACCTGGACAGTGGTCACGCTCTACTAACAGACGCACACCTATATAGGTAGGCGAGACCTAGGGACACCCGACTTCCGTTGGACTCATATCCCTTGGGCACACCCAGTGCGTTGAGTTATACACGACACCTCACGTGGGGATGGGGACAGTGGGGTGGCTGGGACTGGGACCCGTGGGGCGACCCCTCGCAGCGTTTCCCCGGGCTCCGCGGGGGTTTGACCCCCGGCTGGTACCCTCTTTCTGTTCCGACGCCCCCCCTTTTTTTTCTCTCTCTTTCCCTCTCTCTCTCCTGGGCTCTCCTCCCCCTAACACGAGCAGAACATGGCCGGTAACTTCCAACCAGCAGAACTCCGCCTATGGTCCAATAACGTCAGAGGCCTGAACGTGCCGGAGCGGCGCTCTCATCTCCTGCGCACCCTATGGACAGCACGCGCGTCTATTGCATTTATTCAGGAGACGCACTTCCAATGGCGTAATGCACCGGCGCTTCGGGACTCCCGCTTCCCCACTGGGTACTTCGCCAACCACCCACATGCCAAGAAGGCCGGGGTGGCAGTCCTCATTGCCCGCACAGTACCCTTCCTGAGCCACGCAGCACTAGCAGACCCAGGAGGCCATTACATTTTCGTGAAAGGCACGATCGCCGGACACCTCTGCACCCTGGCGTGTGTTTATGCACCCAATACGGCGCAACATACATTTCTGACGCGCACGCTACACACCTTGGAACGCTTTAGGGAGGGCCTACTGATCCTTGCAGGGGATCTTAACCTACCATTAGATCCGCGCCTTGACACATCCCTAAGAACCAGCTCATTACCAACCTCCTACCAATGTAAAGCTCTTACGGCTCTCCGCAATTCAGGGCTGGCAGACTCGTGGCGGGTGGCTCACCCAACAGAAAGGGATTACTCATACTACTCCACAATACACAACCGCTACAGCAGATTAGACTATATCTTCCTCCCCTTTGAATACCTCACGCTCCTGCAATCCAGCGAGATCAGAACGGCCACCTGGTCAGACCACACGCCGGTCCTGACCAGCATCGCCTCCCCGTTATACAAACCGAAGGAACTACAGTGGAGGCTCAACGAGCAAGTTCTGGAGGAGCCGGGAGCGTCCATGGAGATGAGGGAAGCGCTGCAACGGTACTTTGAGGAGAACTCCACCCCAGAAGTGGAACCTCTGACAGTATGGGAGGCTCACAAATGCATGGTCCGAGGTCACCTCATACGCTTCTGCACCCATAGGAAAAAGACCCGGCAGCAACAGACCAGGCGGCTCGCACAACAAGTGGCAACACTTGAAAACCTCAATAAGACTACCCTATCGGAAGACACCTACAAAGAACTTTTGGAAGCCCGAAGGAACCTCTGACACCTACTCTACGAATACTCTGATAAATGCGGGAGACTCCTGGCCAGACGGCTCCAACGAGAACGGAGACTCTCCCATATCGCTAAAATTTGCGACCGGACAGGCAAGCTTACCCAAATGCCTGATGGAATTGCGGAGGCCTTCCACCAATATTACACAGACCTATAATATACCCACGGCACAGGAGGCAGCTGCACAAACTAGGCGTGAGACTAAAATCGCGTCCTAACTGGAACAATATGTGACCCGAACTCTCACAGAAGAACAGAGGAGTATGTTCGAAGAGCCCCTCACCCTGGAGGAACTCAAACTGGCTTTTAAGATCGCCAAAGCACATAAGGCACCCGGTCCAGACGGCCTCCTGGCAGCATATTATAAAAAATTCCAAGACGTCCTGCTACCACACCTCCTACGTGGCCTTAACCATCTATTTGATGGCGGCCACTTACCAAGAGACACGCTGGCGGCCACCATTTCGCTTATTCCAAAGGAGGGAAAGGATTTAATGATCTGTTCCAGCTACAGACCGATTTCCTTACTTAATGCAGACTTGAAATTGTTTACCAAAGTGCTGGCCGCGAGGGTCAGGCGTGCACTGCCGGACCTGGTACACCCAGACCAGGTGGGATTCGTCCCTGGCAGGGAAGCACACGACAATACTATTAGGGCCCTTAACGTGATCCACTTAGCGGGGAGCGGCCGGCGGGGGATGCTTTTCCTCTCGACCGACGCCGAGAAGGAGTTCGACCTGGTGGACTGGCGGTTCATGCTGACGACGGTGCGGCAATGGATGGACCGAGTAGAGGTATATAACATGGAATCCCTTACGGCATCGTTACACGGCACAGGAGACAAATGTGCCATCACTTGGCTTCCCTGGTGTACCTTTATCACCCAAAGGCGGAATACAGCAGCCGGAGAATGACGCAGCCTGGAGGGGGCTAGGGAAGAATTTTAATTTTTTATTTTATTTCTCTTCTCTCCCCCTATCAACCCTCCCCACCCCATTTTGTCCACCTCATTCTTCCTCCGGTCGGGGGGCGGCACACCCTGCGGGGGCGCGGAGGCCCGCAGCCCCACAGCCCCAATAGGCGTACATATGGGGACCACAACAGGTGTGGGGAACACCAGCAGGGGACAACCGAAAGATATAGTCCACCGAAGACAGACCTTTAGTCCAGGATTCAAGACCAGGGCAAGGGCCACCACAGCAAGACTTGGACTCAAAATGATGCACTAAGCCATGACTGACAGATGGGACGGCCAGTCACAATTAGCCAGGTAACCGGACTAGCCCGGACAGACACATAGCCCATAGTAAACCGAAACACGAAGCAAATCCACGTGCGGCCCTCACCCATCATGTTCACATATCCGATAGTTCCCCATGCCCACAATAGGTAACGATAATTAAGCACCCCGCAACCCATGGTACCTATGTTGCCAAAACTGATGACGCCCCGATGGCCTCACCCGCGCCCCTGACTCACCTCCTGATGCCCAATATCCTAGTTACGCACTTAGCCCAAGTCAGTCCCTGACTTCTATGCACCTAACCACCACAAACGATGATAACAAAGAAGCCGGCTAGTAGTTCAGCAGAAATATCCATAGAGAACTGTACCTTGTTACATGTTATAGTTGGTTCTTACTTATTAGTTCAACATGTTCTTCATAAACAGAGGCCTGCGGTAAATGTGGGAAGATATATATTACATAGGGCCCTACTTGATATATGTGCAACCCGCTTTTCCCCTTTTCTTATTCTGTACCCCAGAATCTCAATAAAAAAGTGATTGACAAAAAAAAAGAAGTGGTCATGGAGGTCGGAGTATGGATATGCAGTGTTCCTGCTTGAAGCACTGCACATACTGAGATATTGTGTGCCGGGGGCTAATTTTATCACAGGACAGATGGCTTCATATTTTGCATTACTCTCTTTACTGTAAAATCCAGCAGCACAGATCAGACAGAAACAACCAATCAAAAACAAGTATCCAACTATATAAAGGAGTCTGCCAGCCTGATCACTTCCTCTTTCTTTGCCGCTCCAGTATGCACAGGTCATAGTATTTTGTCTAGTGATTCTATTCATTGTTATATGGCTGTTATAGCTTATGGATTTTAGTGTAATTTATACTGTATGAGAGGTTATATTGCTTCTTGGTTTCCTCCTCCTCCCTTCTCCTCACCCCTCTCTTAAACTACTACAGTCTTCTAAAACATATATATCCCCTATCTGTAGCCTGTCACCTACCCCTCAGAGCTGTGTGATGCCGGTTTTTCCCTCTTATATCGAACACGTTGTGGCCTGAAATCGGGTGCTGCGATTGAGCTCTCACTTACACGGTTCTGTACTTTGTCAGAGATGCCTACGTATTTTACTCATGGTCCGCGGCAAGCTTGCAACTGCAGGCCGCACAAACCATTGCGTGCTTGCGGCGGCCATCTTGAATCCCGCGATTACCGAGAGATTCACGGTGGCCATCTTCCAGATTGATATTATTGCGATCTGGACACTGGGATTAATTACCTACTGCACCCTCCTTCTGGGAATCTCCTGCAAGTGCTCCTCATACTTATCAGGTATCTGTTTATGGACAAGAACTGTCATTTATGCTGCAATGCTTCATATGCCTGTCTGTATTACTGTGTGACATGCCAGTTGCTCGGATACAATCTAATTACACTTTACGGAACCAAAGTGTATTATACAACTACTTTGCCAAAATAATAAGTTGCCATGTGTGGGTGTCCTCTGTTTACATGGCACGCCAACTGGGGTGAGCCCCCAGTTTCCTACGGGCTATACTCTGCACTAGCAGACATTACAGGGTAAGCCCCCTATTATGGTACCCATATAGCCAGATTCGGCAAACGATGTCTATGTATACATGGCTTGTTGTTAACCACGGAGGTACAACTCTGATGTACAACTGGGGTGAACCCCGTTTTATACACATCACCTGGCAACTCTAAGAGGGTACAACCCTATCTAAAATTGCGCGACTTCCACGTCTCTCAGATCACTCAAGGGAGACGCCCTTTCGTACATTAGAGGGTGAGCCCCTCTCATATTGGCACTGACATTTTGGAATTGTCTGAGTTATACTCAGCATTGACCAATATCTGGGCGAACCATGGTTGTACCAGGAGCCTGGCACCCTGTTGGATATTTTATGTAAGGGGACCATACCCTGACTGTCACTATTCCCCAATGGGATTAGTTGCCCAAGATGAGTGAGACACCCCCACCAACGCAAGAGCTCCAGGCATTTATTAACGCTGCTGTAGAGGCATCGGTGGAAAAGGCCCTACCACATACACCAGAGACAGGGTCACAGGACACAGAATCCGGATACCTCCAGAAAGATGGCGGGTCCCAAACACCTCTGGAAAGGGGCGTCTGCCCCGGCAACCAGAGTTAAAGGCAAAGCTCCGGTCAAGCGCTCTAAAAGACCGGAACCTCCCCCCAGTCCACTCCTCGGACAAAGGCTCCTACCCATCACCATCAATGGCAGTGGTAGATGAATGGCAAGCAGAGAAATCCACCTCAGAAGAAGACAACTGGCAGGACTCCCGTTATGTAAAGTAAACGTGTTGGGAGACGACTTTCGAAGGACTGATACACGACTGACCAAACTCATGGAAGAAGAAGGTGTCTTCTTGTCTCACTCAGGGCACTCAATTGGATCCCAACGACATACGGGAGTGAGCCCAATGCGCCATATGTATGTTGGGAAACGCTAACGCAGCGCTCTGCTCAGAAAGGCGTAAGTCAGCACTTCTGAGAATAGATTACAAGCTCTTAGACCTGGGCTCCAAGGAACTGTGTCCTTTGGCAAATGGACTGCTATTCAGGGAGCCATTTATTATGGAGTTGAAGAAACACGTTAATTTATTCACCACTTTGAACAAAGCACAAACTTCGCTCAAGCGGGTCTTCCATTCCACAGCCACAAGAGGTGTTTTTGGGAGGGCTGGTCGGCAATGGGGCCGAGCCACCATCAGTTTCTGGTTCAAGGGCCGCAGGTCCTATCCGCAGTCTTTATTATTCCCAACCTCCTAAACAAGACCCTTGTTCCATAGAGGCTCGGACAGAGCAAGAAGCACTAGAGAACGAGGCCAGGGTCGCTTCCCAACAGGTAAGCCTTGCACGTTCTGCCACTATTACCACTGTTCCTGCAGGCAGGTTGACCAGAACTAGGCGACCATCACTATGGGTGCATGGGTCTTGGAGACCATTCGAGGTTACACCATCGAATTTAATGTGCGTCCCATTCAGACTTCCCGCCCACCTCCACCACACACGTCACTGGAACACAGTCGTTTGGTGAATAAAGAAATACACTCCCCCTTCAACAAAGGGGCTGTCCAATTTGCTCCGGACAGTGGTGGATTTTTCAGCAACATCTTCCTGGTAAAGAAAAAGATGGGAGATTATCAATCAGTCATCAACCTTCGTCAACTCAATGGCTATGTGGTCTACTGTCATTTCAAAATGGAAGGCCTTCACCTGCTTCAGGACCTTCTACAGGCCAATGACTGATTCACCCGACTAGACCTCAAGGACGCTTACCAATCGCGTCAGAGAGTCGACTGTTTCTACTGTTCATTTGGAGACGACAGGATTGCCAATTCACGTGTCTGCCATTTGGCCTCAGTTCAGCTCCATGGTGCTTCACGAAGCTACTGAAGCCGGTTATGGCACACTTTCAGGCAAAGGGCATCCGTTTGTCGTTCACTTTCTGGAGTCCATGGGCTTCGCGGTGCACATACAAAAGTCGTCACTCGTCCCGTCTCTAACTGTTCAATTTCTCAGTTTTGAGAGACTCCGTGAAATGCGTCCTGCGACTATCAACCTCCAAAATCACCTAAATTCAGAAGGTGCTCCGCAAGACTTTCATCCCACTACGTCTCCTCGCCTGCATAGTAGGTCTTCTCTCCTCCTCGATCCAAGCGATCTTCCCAGGCCCCCTACATTACCGGGCCATGCAATG